CCGGCCCCCCCCCCCCCCCCCCCGGTTCTTCTTCTACCACGTCCCTCCCCTCTCACTATGGCAAGCTCTTGATGTGGATGCCCTCACGAGGAGGAAGACTCGCTTGACATTCGCTAGAGTTTTGTCCTTGCCTCTTGCTCTTACCCCTTCCCTTTTTCATTATAACCTCCTCCCAAGCGGATTTTCCTCCATTTCCAAGTGCCCCCTTATGCCCTTCCAAGGCTCCTCTTAGATTAAAATGGAAATCAAACATCATTAGCAGAGATCCTACAACCAATGACTTCTCTATGTCATTTGTACCCCCAACCAAAATCCCTTTCTCAGTTGTTGAGATTGCTAAAGCTATGCAAGATTGGAACCTCTCGCTAGTTAGCTACTTTGTTGGCCAAATGACAAACTATGTTAGCTTGTTATCCGCCATAAAGAAAGCATGGTCGCTCAAAGGTTTTGTGGAACTCCTCATCCTTAGTTACGATTTTTTTCTCTTCAAGTCCACTTTCCCGAAAGACTATGACTTTGCTTGGTCCGGAGGGCCTTAGTTCTTCTTCGGAAGACCCTTTATCATGCAGAGTTTTCCCCTAAGTTTAAACCTACAATGGATGAGTTATCCTCCATCCCCTTATGTATTAAAATCATGAACCTACCCCTCTTGGTTTAGAATCTTGTCGGTATTTCCAAGATTGCTAGATATGCTAGGCACCCTCTTACTGTTGACGCCCTCATTGGGAGGAAGACTCACTTGACATTCACTAGAGTTTGTGTCATTGTCTCCTACTCTCCCTTTACTGATGAAATTCTCATCTCTCTTGATGGGGATGACATTGCACTCAAAGTTCTCCACGACTGGAAATTGACCTCTTGCACCAGTTGCAGCTCCCTTATTCATCCCTCCAACCTATGCCACATAAATCCTCCCCCTAAAGTCAAAACTCATCCCCCCCCCCCCCCCCCCCCCCCCCCCTCCTGCGCTTGGCCCCCACCCCATTTATGGATGGAGTGCTAGACAAAAACAAAAAACCAGGGCTCTCTCCTCAAACATTTTACCAAATAACCACCTCTGCCATTTTTCCATCCACTTCAACTCAACATTCACATGCAACTACCACCCAATACAGCCCCTCCTATTTTCCCCCTCATTTAGATGCCGACTCCACAAATTCAGCCACCTACCCTGGGGAAAGAAGTGTTACCCAACCTTAACTCCCATACTGATGAAGCCTCCTCATCTGATTATCCCTTGACCCTTGCCTATCCCTACCTCAATCGTATCTCATCCCCATCAAGTTTGTTGTGTTGCAATCAGAAGACCCCCAAAAAAGCTACTTTGATGAAACAATTGTTGTTTTTAAAGACCAATTGGTTAAAACCCAAGGCCCTTCCCACGTCGATGCGTCTGTGATGTCTAAAGACCAACCTATTAAATAAAATCTCCCCTCAACCAAGCAATCTGAGTCCAAAAAAAGCTAAGAAGGCAAACCCATCCTTTTCCAAATCATAATGACCCTTCCTCCTATCAGATGTTGGAATGTGAGGGGATTTAACAGCCCTGAGAAAGTTTATGCGTGTAAAGAACTTGTCAAGTCGCACCATTTAAGACATGTTGAGCTTTCTTGGAACCAATGTTCATAATCACTTGTCCCTTGACCCTTGGTTTTCTAATTCTCGTAGGATTTTTGAGAATGAGCGGTCCTGCAACAACTATGATTCTTCCTCACCTTGAAGAATCTGGCTAAAGAAAAATTCCACAAACATCTCTTTCTCCTCTTCTTTCTCTTCTTCTTAGATGATTCATGAAATTCTCTCCTCTGGCTCTCTCCCTCGCCCCCCCTGTGTCTCTTAGTGATTTATGCACGTAACTAAATGGATGATAGAAACCCTCTCTAGCAACAATTTTTGGCTCTAGCTTCCTGAGACTTCAACTGTTGCATATTTGCTAACGAGAAATCTGGTGGCAATACTTTTCATTTCAACAAGCTTGGGAAACTTATCAACCAAATGTTTAATACTATCATTCTAGGTCTGGCCTTTGTTGGGTTATTTTATACTCGGTTTAACCAATATTTGGATAACCCTCTCCATATTAAACTGGATTGGGTTCTAGTTAATCACACATGGCTTGAGTTTTTTCCCTCTTTTTTCTATAAAGTTGAACCCCCCACTGCTCGAACCATTCTCCTATGGTGCTCTTCTCTCGCACCAACTCTAGCAAAAATTGCAGATTCCTTTTTAAAAACTATCGGTCTCATATGGATGTTATTGGGATGCTATTATTACCATTTTTACTTCTCACATCAATGGAAGTCTGATTGTTGCTTTCTACTCCAAGCTGCATACTCTTAAATCTCTCCTTAGAAGCTATAAGTGGGCTAATGCTTCCTTTCTTTCCACCCATATTAAAGAGATGCAAGTTTGTTAGTAGGATATACACTTATAAATTCAACTTGATCATTTCCTTAATATCTCCTTAAAATTTCTTCCACACATGACACCTTCCCAAGGGGGCTAAAGCCACTACGATCTCTCTGATACCCAAATGCTCTCATGCTTCAAAAATCTTGGATTACCAACCTATATCCTGATGCAATTTTTTTTTACAAGATTAATGTAAAAATTCTTACTAACCGAATTACAGATATTATGCCTCTAATCATTCATCAAAGCCAAGCTGGGTTTGTTTGTAAAAGATGCTCCTCGAATGACATTGTGTTGACTTCTGAGCTTTAGGGTGAATTCAATAGTTCCTCTCACAGGAAGTATTTTTGTTTTAAACTAGACATCACTAAGGCCTTTAACTACGTTTCCCATGACTTCTTATTCTCTAGGCTGGTGCAAAAAGGCTTCCCTCTTAAGTTTATTAACTGGATCAATGCATGTATCAATGAGGTGCATTTTTCTATTTGTATTAATAGTGTTCTTGAGAGTTTTTAATTATTCATCTGGGTTGAGGCAAGGTTATCCTCTCTCCCTATTACTTTTTAGGACTGTCATGGATGCTCTCTCTTGCTCTCTTGAGGTTGGTAGCTCCAATGCTCTCTTTACTGTGAGTCTAGTGGTTACAATTACAATTATCTACTTTATGTAGATGACCTGCTTGTGTTTGGTTTGGCCACCACCCTGAATGCCTCCTCCCTTAATGAGAAATTTATTAGCTTTGATGCTTCTTCTTGGCTTCATATAAACCATGACAAATGCTAGATTATTTTCTCTCATAACTCTCCTCAAGCTGCTGATATCTTCTCTATTCTTAACCTCCCTTAAGCCGACCTTATCCTTAAGTACTCGGAGATTCCTATCTCCCCTAAGAAACTCAATTATGCTCATTTCCAACCACTTATGAGTAGAATTTATACTCTACTTGATGGTTGAAAATTTAAGTTCTTGTCTTTTGCATGTAGAGTTTAGTTCTTGAGGTTCATCATCTCAAACACTTTGGCTTATTAGATCTATGGCTCTATAATTCATAAGTCTTGCTGCAAAACTATAAACAAGCCATGGTCTAGGTTCTCGTAGCATGGGAAAACTAATGAGAAAAAGTTTCACGTCATTGCTTGGGTTAATACCTATTGGTCTAAGAATTTAGGTGGCTTGGGTATATTGTTATCCAAGCTTTATATCACAGATTTTTTTGTTCGTTTATGTGGAGATTAGGATCTACAGTTATTTTACAAGCAGATTTGCTGAGGGCTAAACTCTCCTCCACCAAGAACCACCAAATCCCCCCCCCCCCAACCTATTTCTTTGCACAAATACACATAGCATAAAAGATATGCTATTAAATTCTCTTCTTTTGCTTAGATGACTACTCTTAATGATCTAAAAATTGCATATGTTCTTTTTAAGAGGAATATCTCCATTCAGGTCAACTGTTCTCTCTGCTATAGGGATCCAAAAACTCTATGGCTTTTTATTTTTCAAAATACGAGTACGCTTTTTCCATCATCTCTACGCATTTGCCTCACATTGAAGGCTTTTTACGGAGGTCCACTATGCTGCAACTCTCTGATCATTATTCTGGTCTCTCTCATTTTAGTTCCCATAAGAAGAATTTCTTCTACTTTATCATATTCTATTCTTTGTATTTTTTTTTTCTTTTTGTGAAGAGAAAGGAATGACAGACATTTTGCTAGAAATTGGAGTTGCTATACCTCCGTTCGTCACAAAATCATAAATGTTATCTTATCTTAAGCTGCTAAGGGCATCTCCAACCGAAAATCCCATTTTCACTCCAAAATATAGTGAAACTAAAAAAATGGCATAATTCATCTTCAATCGAACTCCATTTTGCGTACTTTGCAAAAGGTTACCGTCTTTCTCTCTTTCGCGTGTTTCTTCAGCAAATTCAGTGGAGACAGAAAAATAAAATCGGTGAACAATGCAACAATGTCAATATTGACGTCGCACTGTTCACCAACAATTAAATACCAGAAGTTTTGTTGTTCAGCTAGAGCTCACGATTTGCGCCATTCATGACCAAAATGGAAATGCTCTGATAATCTTATTACTTTTTTCTAGGCCCAGGAAATTATCTGATCAGTTTTGAAATTATGGCTGTAAATATTTAAATATAATTATTTTAAGTGCTATGCGTGGAAATCTCCAATGCGGCCACGTGGACTACCATGCTTTAATTAACGCTATATAAATCAAGTGAATGTCGCTCTCATTACTGTAATTCTGTAAATAACGACTTAAACCCTAGAGAGAACGAGAGAGAGAGAGAGAGAGAGGGAGAGAGAGAGAGAATGGCAGATTGGGGGCCGGTGGTGATCGCCGTGGTTCTGTTCGTTTTCCTGACGCCGGGGCTTCTTTTCCAGCTTCCAGGGAACGGCCGGGTAGTGGAGTTCGCCAACATGCGAACAAGCGTCATCTCCATTCTTATCCATGCCGTTATCTACTTTGCCCTAATCACCATCTTCCTCATAGCCATCGGCGTCCACATCACCACCGGTTAGCGATTATCTCATATTCATACTTCCAAGCCACAGTCCTTGTTTTCAATCGCCTTAATTAACCTTTCTTTTTTTCTTCTTTTTTTCATTTCCCTTGTTCTTGTAATAGGAAAAATATCAAATCTCACTAATTACGTTTTTGTTTGGTGTTGTTTTCTGTTGCTGAAATTATCTGTTAGATGGATTGATTTTCTTTTGTTTTATAAATATATTTTTTAGTTTTGTGGGCCTTGGCATCTCTTTGTTATACACTTATACTGTTATTTTTTACAGTTGAAATCTTCGTTTTTGTACTTTGCTTGCCTGTAGAATTGGATGAGTCGATTAGTTGGTTACTTGAGTTACCTTTTGATATTGTATCTGATTGGATTTTGAGGTTGTTTTGGTCAACCATTCGTTGATACTTAAAAAAAATAACAATAAAATAAAATTATAAAAATATTGAGCCAAATTTATTATATTTAATAAATAATATTTTTATGAGATACTGATGCTTATAAAATACTTTTAGATCAAAACAAGTTTTAGAATTTCTGATGGTGATCTGTGCCTATTTTAATGCTTCTAAACAAAACGGTTTATAAAATTTGAAATTTTTGCATAGGCTTTGACTTCCATTAAGCAGCAAATTTATATTCTATTCTGCTTTTGTGATTCAATAACCTATTAAGTTAATTTGCTGAATCTTTGGAATGTAAAAGCTTGTCTGAATTTTTCTTGGTGATGGGCTATGATTTTATTTTCAATAACAAATGAAAAAAATTGCAAATTGCTTCGGAAGCAAGGATTAAATTTAGATTTTGTCTTGGACTAATCAGTGTAGGTTTCTGCGGTTTCTAAATTAACATTTGTGTTCAATTCTTTCTCTAGTTCCAGAAAAAAAAAATGCAGTTTTGATGAAGGGGCTGATTGGATTGCGGTAAAATGGATGGACAATATTCCAAATGAAGGGGTTTTGAAATATAGGTGTTTGGTTTGAAGTCAAAGAAATGCATGGTAAAATTTTGGTGTATTTGAAATATCGGTGTTTCGTTTAAATACAACATAAATTCTTTGTCATTGTCGCCGATCGCTGCCACCCGCCACCTGAGCCTGCTACTGCTACCTACCACCGAAGCCAGTTGTCACTTGCCGCTACCCCCTGCCAGCTACGGAATGCTATTATATTTGGATTTTTATAATGCATTCATTTTACTTTAAACCATAACAAAAAAAATAATAATAATAATCTTATGTATTTTCTTATACACATCCAAATAACTCCAAACATCTCAAATATATGGAATGTCTTTTATGTTGCATTCGATTTTACTTAGTTTTTCTTTTTCAACCAATCAAATGGCCCCTCAATAAACATAGAATTGCAATAACTTCATATAATTTAATTATATACATATGAAGTAAAGTCGGAAAAAACATTTTATATTAATATTTATATTAGCAGAGCTTCCATATATTTAGATCTAAGGGCAAGTATAAATTAATTAACTTGATGATCTCAGGCAGACAGCAAGTGGAACATTAAGAAAACCACCAATAAACTTTTATTTTTTATGCTTGTTGAATCTGCTTGCTTGTTATTATTTTTTTGCTGAAGATGTATCTGTGAAGCGTTTACATGGAGACTGCGTTCTGGAAGCAGCTGTATGCTAAAATGAACCGTTGATGATAGCTTTACAGTTTAAAATGCAAAGACTCCCAAACCATAACAAATTCAATTAGTTTTTAGTGGATGTTTGGTAGTACACAGGATTTGATTTAAGTAGGATTTCGTAAATCCTTTAAATCCGGATTTTGAATATCCTGAGGGGCCTAAATCCTGATAACTGTTTGGTAAAAATCATGATAAATCCTAAGTGACTGTTTGGCTATAGAGCAGATTTAACGAGTGGACTCTTCCTCTCGAGCCAATGAATTTCGTAAATTTGGCAGAAAACATGATTTTGGAAATCTGGGATTTAGCACGAAAAGGCGGAATTTTCCGTCTACGGTGGCTTTCATATGCCTTGAGACTTGGTTTTGCATTTAAGGCCGTTTGGTTGGATTTGCTCAAATCCGACTCAAAGCTGGCCTAAATCCTGCCACCAACGGCCCCTTAATGTTGAGTGAATGTGTATCCTTTGACGTGCTTAGAAGTTCCTCAAACGAGTTTGATCAGTTTTTTTTTTTATTTTTTTTTTATTTTTTTATGTTGAAAAACTCTCAATTCAATTAAACTATAAGAAATGGGTATATCCATTGTGGCTAATATGTTGAATCATTGGTGTTGCTTGATTAAAGATGCTTGAGATCCTTGTCTTCTTTGTCCAAGTCTTCTTCTTGCTTGTTAGAATGCTCATCTTCTTCTTATTGTTGTAATGGAGAAATCTTCCTTTAGAATTGATTTTTTTGTCTTTGATCGCATGTTGAGTACTGGTATTTCAATCCCCATTCTTCTTCCAAGCAAGTGATTGTTCCAACAATCATGCGATATCATAGCATGAATACCTTCAATATCACAAAATTATTAAAAAAAAAAAATAGCGTGCTGGAATTATCTGTCCGCAATGACCTAGGGTTTTTTCAGCTCCCGTTCGGGTAGCCGTCTCCGGCCATCCGACGACGGGCTGTCGTCCGGGCAGCTTTTGACCCCCCTCTCGCTCCCATCCGGGCAGCCGTCTCCGGCCATCCGATCGACCTCCCGACGTCGCCTCCTTGACCCAATCGTCCAATCTGACCCAGCTCGACCGGCCTACCCAGTTGCCGCCGGCCACGATCCTCCTGCCCTTGCGCCCGACTCCGACTACTTGCTCCCACGCCGAGGCCCACAGCTCCCGTCGCCGGCTTTGATCCAGTAGTCGCACGCAGATTTGTTCCATAATTTCAAAAGTGAGTACGCTGGACGCTCTAGCCGTTGCTCCTGCTCTGCTAGGGCTTTGCCCTAGCAACCTCATCAACGGCATTTCCTCTGGCTTTTCTCTGGTTTGATTTCTTCTTCTCCCTTCTTATGGCTGCTAGTCGTTTGCATGACCCGGGTTTTCTAGATGGGATTCTGTGGTCTCGTTCCTTTCGGGATGTCCTGTCCGGGACCTCCTCCGTGTCGAGTTTTCCGCCTTTGAAGGTTTCTTCCTGCCATGATCTTCCTGTTTTGTTGATTTCTGATGAAAAATTGAATGCCCTAGCTGCGCCTTTTGAGTTTGCCTTGGTCGGGAAATTTCTCGGCAGTCGTCCGTCGCTGGAATCAATTCGTAAATTTTTCTTCAATCTTAAGCTGAATGGTGAGTTCTCTGTCACTATTCTCAACAAAAATAATGTTTTGATCAAGCTTATGAATGATTTGGATTACTGTCGAGTTTTCGCTCACCGTTCATATTTTGTTAACAACTGTTACATGAAGTTTGTTAAATGGTCTCCGCTTTTTGACGTTTGTGTGGAATCTCTTATGATTTTGATTTGGATTTCTTTCCCTAACCTTCGCCCTCATTTGTACTCTTCCTGTGTTCTTCAAGGGTTGGGGTCCATTTTTGGTAGACCCTTAATGACTGATAACGCTACTGCCAATGGAACTAGACCCTCAGTTGCTTGTATACTTGTTGAGCTAGATATTACTTAGTGGTATCCGGATCAAGTTTGGCTTGGTTCTGAATCTTTGGGTTATGCCCAAAATGTGGAAATGGAAGTTTTCCCCTTATATTGTGATCATTGTAAAGCTTTGGGTCATTCAAAAGCTGAATGTAGTGTGTTGCATCCTCATCCTGCTGTTGTCCCCGCACATGTGATTGGTTCGGTTTTGGAACCTGTGGCTCATCCTGTTGCTGAGATGATAAGGTGATTTCTGGTATTTGTGACCAATCTTTGGCACATGTGGATTTGGGGTTGTCTGCATATGTTGTTTGTTCTCCTCTGATAATGCCTAGTACTGTCGAGTTCAATAACCCGGATGTTGTTGCAGTTGTTGACATGCCGCAAAACCCGTGGCTGTTGATGTTAATCCTGTGGTTGAATTAGTTGCACCAGTTGTTGTGCCTCCTTCCTGTACTACCCCTTGCTTACTAGCCTCACCTGATGGAGTTTTGACTGCTGGCAAGATAGGTGTTGTGTGTGTGGCTGCATCATCCTTCGGTTTATATAGATGGTGAGGGTACCTTGCCTACTGTTGTGGGTTTGGTGAAGAAGATTGATGGTAGGGGTGTGGGTGGATTTGCGGTTGATGATGGCGGTGAAACTGGTGTTATTTTGAATACTACTGCTGTTTGTTGTGGTCTTTCTGATGGTGATGATCCCTTGTCTAAAAGTTTTGAAGAGTCACTTTTGAATGTGCCTTTAACCCTTGTTTCCAAGGATGATTTGCAGACTCACATTTTAAGGGATAGTGAGGTGGTGTGGGGTGACTGGGTACATGTCGACAATTCCTCAGCTGATGGTGAAGATTTTTATGAGGATTATTTGGCTTCTCGACCGAAATTTTTTAAAAGAAGTGGCAAACGTAGAGCTCGTAAGTCTAAAAAGAAGTGATGCTCCTTTTGGTCTTGATTTGATTTTCGTGGATGTTTGTTCGTACTTTTGGGAGTTGTTTTGGTGCTGGCGTTGTTGCTGATGCAGTCTTTTTGGTTGGTGCTTCTTGTTGCTTCAATTCAGCTGGCTGAACTCCTTCCTATTGCGTCCTTGTGCCATCTTGACTCCTTTTGCTAGACTACCTATTCGACTTTGCTAGCTCTAGGTGGTTTTATTTGTTTTGTTAGCTCAATTTTCTTCTTCTTACTTATTGTAATAGGTAGAACTAATCGCTCCTAGTTTTTTCTTCAATTTTTGTATTTTTAGAGAGCTTATGGTTATCTAAGGACTTATAATTTTCTTTTTAATTTAATGCGTAGGCCCACATGTGGGTTTTATCAAAAAAATTTTATAAAAAAAAATAAAAAGTAGTATGAATACCTCCAAACTTTTTTTCGCCACCACTGCCTCAAGTTCTCACTCACTTTACAATCTTTATATTATAAGACAATTTTGACTCTATATGCTCATAAGGTTTTTTTTTTTTTTCATACTAAATTGCTCCTATTTTGGAGAAATTATTCTGTGCAGTCACCAGACGTCATCTGGAGGCGAATCAGGACGTGTCACGTCACATTTTTTTTTGTTATGTACCAGTGTTGTGTACCGTTGTGTGTCGGGG